ATTGGTAAAAGGAGTCGACTCAAAATGAGTTGTGTAAAATCCTGTGCTGAAGATAGTTTGACGAAGTCGGAGATAAATGTTGATGTGCTGAAAGAGGTATGAAGCTTAAAATAATAGAATTCTCTGTAGCTTGTAGGCTCTAGCCTGATCATTGCTGATATGACAGTATTATTGAACCTGAATTGATGTTTGTCTTCATTAGATGGAACCAGTATATATTAGTAGCAAAATTGGAAGATCTATACAATAAATTATTTTTTCATCCTTTTTTTGTTCTATATTTTACAATCATGCCTTCCGTTGAAATGGTGCATTGTTGGTTGCTGTTAGCAATCCCACATCGACTAGTGGTATAGTCTAATTAATGTATATAAGTGGAGAGGAATCCTCACTTTAGGTCCATAATCCACTTCTTAATAATTTCCACATTAGTTATATGTGTGCATTTAAATAAAAAGCAAAAGCATGAATAGTTTACTTCTACTTCTAGGCTCCATTTAGGCATATGTTAGGTCCTCTGTATAATTTAAGCTTCTACTTACACTTTAGGTTTTAGCTGCTTGGGAGATTATATTGCTACCAAATGCTATATGATACTTTAAAAGTTTAAATACATGTCATGCAGGCAAAAATGTTCTACTTCAATACACATCCCCTGCTTGATCGTAACATGAGGTCAACTACATTGCAAGCCATCAAGATTTCCAAGCATTTTGGAGGGGTTGTTTTCTATGATCTAAACCTTCCTATGCCGCTATGGCACTCTAGGGAAGAAACTATGATGTTCATTCAGCGAGTGTGGAATCTTGCGGACATTATTGAGGTCACTAAACAAGAACTAGAATTCTTATGTGGGATCACGCCATCTGAAGAATTTGACACCAAAAATAATGCCAGGTCGAAGTTTGCTCATTATGAACCTGAAGTGGTTGCCCCACTTTGGCACGAAAATCTTAAGATTTTATTTGTAACTAATGGAACTTCCAAGATACATTACTACACAAAAGAGCTCAATGGTGCTGTTCTTGGGATGGAGGATGCTCCAATTACTCCATTCACTTCTGATATGTCAGCAAGTGGAGATGGCATTGTTGCAGGTACATTATAGTAAATTTACATTTAAACCACAACCCTACATTCTTTTGAAAAATATAAAAAGAAACCTCTTAAATGTCTATCACTATCATGAAACAAATCATTTGAGAGGTGATGGCTTTTGAAGCAATGCAATAGAGGTCCTTCAATTTATCTTATAATTTCATAGACTTTCTTTGGACAATTTGTTGTCTCGTTCTGAAAATCCAATAGGAGGACTTTGATAAAACACATTTTAAAATTTAAACAGTATTAATTTACAGTAGGTGACTAATTGCGTATTGGGGTTATAGCATTGAGCCACAACATATATAAAAGATAAAACTCGGTTGTCTTTACCCTGACCTTGATATTGCACTATTGCTTAATGAATGTCATAATAAGCACATGAAAGTGCTAAATGGTGGCAGCACTCAGGGCTTATATTGCTTATATCTTTGGTACCTATAGATTTGCACCCTAAAACTTTCAAGCATTAATTCTCATAGAGTTAATCAGGTTTTTCATCATCCTGGGTTTTTGTTAATTTTTTTTGTGTTAACTATGTTATTGGTATGAGATATTCACCAGTTTCGCCAATGATTAATCTTTATTAGAAAATTTGGTTAATCACCTTTAGTGAAATCTTCTCTTCTAACTACATTTTTTTCATCCACAAAACTTGAATCTGAGACTTTCTTTAGGGAGATTGAGTCTAGCACCAGGAAACTAACAATTTGTTGGTACCTGAATTTGTTTGGACACACATTGAGAACCCATAAAACCACATCCACTTTATAAAAAGCGTAGAAGCTGTAATTGATAGCTTATGGAAAGATATGCATATTGCTTAAGTAAATGCGGGACCAAAGTCCAAACATGCTGTGAAACTAAGCCTTAATACTGAGTTCTCTTATTGTCTTTGCAGCTCTCATGCGAATGTTGACTGTTCAACCTGATTTGCTAACTGATAAAGGATACCTGGAACATTCCATCAAGTATGCAATTGATTGCGGGGTTATCGATCAATGGATACTCGGTCGGGTACGGGGTTTTCCTCCAGATGAAGATATAGAGGACATAACTGCTGATCCAAATGGTATTAGGACTATTTCAGAAGAAGAATACCGCACAGTATTAAGGACTGTTAGTGAGTGATATCAGTTTTGTAGCCTGTTTGTCACAGTGAAGCTTTCATCACTTGTATAGAAAACTGTGTTTTATTGGTCTGTTTCTTTCTGTGTTTTCCACTTCTAGAGGTTGTATTACCATAGTTTGTTGTATTTCCCATTCTTTTTTGGTTGTATCAATGACATTATAATCAAAGCTCAAAATTCCAATTTACATTTCTTTGACAAAGTTATCTATCTTTTGTCACTTTCTGACTTGATGGGTGCATTTTATGTTACAATAGAGTATACTACAAAGAGAACAAAACAAACACGTAACTTAATAATTTTTTTTATTAAACATCTTTATTTTTTGGCTAAATTAGAATTTTAGTTTCTTATTTCAATTTTTAGTTTTAGTTTAGTTCATCAAGTTTAAAAAGTTTTAATTCGATCCTTCAAAATTAAGAATTTTACTTTGTTAGGCCAAATATGTCCTAAAATTGTCTAATTTGATCTAACAAAAACACTTTTAAGGATCAAAATAAAAACATTTTAAATTTAGAAAACCAAATTGAAATCCGGGATAAAAGTTCTACTTTAGCTTTATTTTTATGAGACTAATAAAATAATTAGAAAAGTACCAAGTTAGGTTAATTAACTATTTAAGTACATAATTTACACCATATATAAACTTGAAAGGAGATTTTAGAAGAAAAAGAATATCCTAAAATATAAGTTGGGCGTTGATGTCTATTTACGTTATCTAGATAAGTGCTTCCTTGTTGTTGGGCTAACATTCTTGAAAGTGTCTCAGAACTCAATTTTGTAATTATGGAATGTTTGGTGCTTCTTGATGTTCTATAATTTGAAAAGGGCAGTTTAATTAAACCTTTAGGTGGGAGGTCATCTCATAATACATGATTTTTGAAATTTGTTAAGTTGTGACATTGTCATGATCCATTAAATCTTATGTTGGTAATATCAGAGAGCTGGATGTACCTTTCGTCTTCCTTTAATTATTTCCTTTTTAGTGTTTAGGAGAGTTCGCTAAAAATTCATAACAAATATTTATTTTTGGCTTAATTTCATTTTTAATTCTTTTAGTTTGGATTATGTGTAATTCCAGTTTAATTTTTTTAACTAATTAAATCCCTCTATTTTAAAATCAAGTTTGATCCCTCTGAATTATTTTGTCTAAATTTCTTAAGTTATTATTTTCTATCTAAGTATTTGAAAATTTATAATAGATTTGAGATTGAAATGATTTTAAAATTTAGAAGTCAGAAAATTAGTGAAAAACTAGTGAAATATGTAATATTTACTAGGATGGGAGAAATTTAAGTAAAAGAAACCGAAAGAGAAATCAAATTTGCTTAATTTTAAAAGTAGGAAGATTAAATTGAAAAAAAAAACCGAGATGATGAAAATCATACATTATCCAAACTAAATGAACAAAAAGTGCAATTAAAAAATTATTATTACTACGATGCTACTGCAACCAAATCTATAGTTCTTAATACTGGTTTTTCAAAATTTTCATTTATATTTAATTTTATAGCACCATTTCTCTAAATCTCACTCAGTTTCCCCAAATTGCCAGACCTATAGGTAATCTTTTGTGGAAGAACTATCTTTCCAAAACACTAGTTGATTATAAAACTAATTTTGTTTGAAACCCAACGAAAAAATAATTATTACTTTTAACTTTGTCCCAGTGCTTCAGATAATTGCTGATCCCGGATTCCCTGCACCATGTAGATGCTAGGATTCTGTCATCTGATGTAAACAGTTTCAAAACAAATATAATAAAGGAGTATCTTATATTTCTATCCGGGATGCAAATGATTTTCTTCCCCTTATAGGTTCTTTATAAGATTTTTCCTCAAGTCTTTATTCATGAATACCTTCCTTATTTGTCTTAAGTTATTCATTTTCTCAATGGCTCCCATTGTGTTTGGATACACATTATAAATGCAAAAATGACATCAAATTGGTGAATAATGGAATAAATAATAATTAATAAGAATAATTCTATGCCATATTCGAATGTACTATTGACATTGGTAGGAAAGAATGACAGACACGAAATATTTTGCAGACTTAATAACTCATTTTTTATACTTCCATTTTTTCCCTTCCAAAAGTAGTTGATGGCATGTAGGGGGAATTTTTTAAGAGAAACTAATTTTTAAATGAAATAATCGTGTTTAAAAAGTTATAAATGAATAGATTAATTTCAAAAACTAAAGTAATTTGAATACACTATTCAGAAGTTAAAAATAATTACCTATAAAAAAGTTCCAACTATAAAAACATTTTCTTTTTAAAGTTTAAACAACTGGGTCCTAAAACGTCGTTCAATAGAATTTTATTAACTTCTAAATTCAACCATGATTAGAAATAAAAGAAAAGTTAAAATTATGACATTAAGATTCTGTTAAAAAAATTATTAATATTCTATTATTGTTTTCCAAAGCTTGAATGTACACAAACACTTTCTGTTTTCCTAGAGTTATCTAAATGATAGAATGACAATAATTATCATCTTCATTTCATTACATTCCTTAATATGTTATCTTCTGTATTCCAACCATCCAAACTAAATGTATATACGAATTTTATGTAAATCTATATGCCCCAAAAGGATATATGTACTAATTGACATGAAATTTGTAGATGATAAAATGTATTCAATTGTCTTTTCCATCATCCCTACAGGCACTATACTAGCTCCGACATAATCAAATGAATGATATGTGAATCCTTGATGGGGCATGTTGCATCCATCAATAACCACAAATGCCAAAAGAAGAGTAAACAAATAGATACTTGATTGATGCCACATACTATCCTCTCCCATTTCAGAGGATCCCTCAAATTTAATAATCAACCCAAAAAAAAAACAGATGGGGCACATTCAAAATTTTCATCATCAAGTAGAGACTATATATTGAAATTGAAACAAAATAGATAAACAAGAAACTGGGAGGGTGTGGGAAAGTGAACTCTTGGAATTACATGAACCAGATTTTCCTTTCTAAATTGCAAGCAGGTGAGACCATCATCATAACCAATAACCCAATGAGGAATCAGAAGGAAAGAAGGGTGTTGGAACTTGGAATGATGCTCTCCACAACATTTATTGGCAGCTTACAAAAACTATACCACACTTTCTCCAAACAACCTCCCATGAGAGAGCAAGAAAAGGTAAAAAAAACAAAGACTTTCTATCCAAGAGAAAGGAACTAGGCAGGATCCAAGGATGATCAACACTTGCCAAATCCCTTGACACTACATACAAACTTGCACCTCATCAAGTCCTACTTGTTCAAATTGGAATCTTCAAGTTTTGAGGCAGCCAACTTATCCAAAAACCACACCAACTTCCCCATGGCGGGTTGGACCATTCTTGCCGGTATTAACGGGCAGTCGGCTCCAATGTCATCTATTGCCAAGTGTACAGATTCTGCTTTGCTTTCCCCTGTGACAACTACTGCAACATTGGATGCAGAATTGATAACAGGCAAGGTGAATGTGATTCTCTCAGGAGGGGGTTTGGGGGAGTCAGTAATGAAAGTTATCCATTCTTCCCTTTCATTGAGTGCTGGGTGGTTAGGAAATAAAGAGGCAACATGGCCGTCCGGACCCAATCCGAGCAGAATGAGATCAAACTTTGGACAGTCGCTGATCTCAGACACACTGACGACACGGGTTTTCACTAACTGTCGAATGGCGAATTCATAATCATCGGCAGCTTCTTCTGCTGACACCGAATCATTAATAGAATGCACATGACTAGGGACAATAGGCACCTGAAAATATAACAAGTAAATTAGCAGAGGAATATAAATGAATATCAAGTAATCTCATGGAATATTTTACACATTAAAGCAAAACATCTATATCAGAGACTCCCATGTTGCATTAGTTGAACTCAATATTTAAATAGAAAGCAGCAGGCAAATCCTGAAACATCTCTTTTTCCCCTGGTATGAAATTCAACCACGACCACAATCATATCATGTGTTTCATAGTAGAACAAAAAGTGCAATTCAGGGTTTACAAAATAGTGCCAGACAAAAAGAAATGCATATCTAACCAGGGAAACACAGAATTTACTTTCTAAATGACAGTTTTGCTTTCTTAAATAGCATATAGGTATTATAGAAACTGCAGCACAGAAAAACATCAATCAAGCTGAATGGTATGGACCACAAAACAGAATCATTCAGAAATGAAATGCACAGAAGTAATAGTGAAGACATAAACCTGAAGCCTGAATATTGAAATGTTACAGATCAGACAATACAGAATCATTCCAACTCCCCAGCTACAAAGTATATTAGTCATTCAAGCAACAGTGATCCATTTGAAACATGAAGCATAAATAACAACCCAGTCATCTAGCTAAACAAAAAAAGTTTTACAATACCCCAGTTGAACCACACCTTTTGTTTCCTGTATTCATTTACAAACTGCATTTGGTGGGATCATACATCAAAAGCAAGTTGTACAGCCCTGTATCGTAATGCATCTTATATTGCTATTTAACCTGTAATAGTAAAAGAACAATTTTCTTGAATGTAGAAAGCATTTTTGACACAATACATTCATAATCTGCTGAAGGGATAATATGTAATATGTCAAGAACTCCCTCTTCCCACCGCTATCTCTCATTACTTTATGACCATCATAGGATGTCTTGTTTTTGACTAAAATTTCATTAATACTTGGAAACTTTTAATTCAAAGTGGACTATCGTTCCAAGAAGACAACATACATCTCAATTCATAGGGGACTGAAAGATGGAAGATAAATATAAATTAGGCCAAGAAAAAATTTCAGCCAATTTAGAGCATACAACAAGCATAAAATTCACAACAATTGGACTAGCTTTAAATCAAATCAAGTAATCAACTAGAAATATAGACAAGTTCAATCTAACTACGCTTTTTTCGTGTCGGATAATCACATTCCATTTTTCTATTGTAATTCATCATATACGGAGACAAAACAAGGGGGATAGTCCATTAACTACAAAATTGAGGAAACATTAACTAGCAGTATACATGATTAAAGGCTAAGCAAAAAAATGAAACCAAAGCAGATAGCCAAACACAGCAGGCATATTATCTTCAAACAACCATTCCTCATCATTCTTTAATAACCATATATATAGCTTTTAGAAAATACCAATGGATCATGGGAAATAGAAATGTAGATTAAGATCTATTTTGCATGGCAACACTGATAGAACTATATTCTTGCTATACTGTATGAATTTCCATTGTAAATGTACAGTGCTCTGGAATTATGTCAAATTCACCCCTACATATTGCAGTTACTTTAAAACTAATTTGGTTGGCACTAATAAGACAGCCATTAAGAAATCATTACTAAAATATAGAAGGCATTCTAAGATAGTTTGTCTCTTTCTTTCAGAAAGTCTCACTCTCTCATATCAAGCCAAGGCTGGGCATGCAGAAAAGCTGCTTCTTTTTAATGTCTACCCAACTCAATCTTAATAGACAAGTTTATACTTCACATTAATTTTTCTGTATCCATTCTGGCTGGTCTTTATACATACAAGCCAAAAGATGTATCTAATTAGTTTTCAGAATGTAAAGTCATACAACTGTGACCTTCAGGCTGGACTGAATTGTCTGATTGAGGCCTTTCCTAGATCCAACATGATGAGATTATCCTCTTCGCTTTAGGAAGCTTAGAATGTTTAGATCATTGTAGTTAATAATGCTACAACCTTCAAAGCACAAGTGTCAACTAATAGGGTCCTCAGCACTTCTGAGACCTTTATTCTGAAAGCAAACCTAACAACCAACATGCCATGCGTGGAAGGAAATTGGAGGCACATGCCTCTGATAGGCAATGTACTTCCTCTGTCTGTGGCAAGAGAATAACAAACTTTCAGATGCAAAATGCTTCTATTATGAAAGTTTTCATGTGTGTTGCTTGTATTCCTCTTTCTTATAATGATATCACCAATCCTGTTAGGACTCTAAGAATCCCAAACATTATACTTGGTAATGGGTATAGTTTAATAACCCAGCACGTGCAACATAAAAGACCCTCCAAGAAATATCTATTGGTCTCATCCACCTTGGAGACCAGGTTATTAAAGTCAGCCCAACCGATACTAGATGAGTTCTGCTGCCTCCCTAAGTGTTAAAAAAACCTTGAGAAGTTTTCAGAACCTGCTTCTACTTCTCATACTGTCAATATTAAAAAGGTTCATTTGCTGCCAAAAAGCTCTTGCTGCAGAACTTACATGTGTTCACCTTCGGCATTGTATGCTGGAGAATCAATAAAAATCTGAACGGTTTCTTTGAGGTTGCATTATGAGGAATGACTGATTCCTTTAACACATTTGGTGTTAGCAAGTTTTATGAAACTGTGATTCCACTAATGTCACTTAACTTTTACACATTTACTTCATGTGTGCAAACTGACTCCATAAGAGAATGAGTGAAGAATTTGATTTGGCATCTACTCCTAAGCCTCACAACAAATCCAGGGCTTCATTTGCAACACCTACTGGGGAACCAAAGCTCTCTAAACTAATTCTGGATTGTCTTCTTTAAAAATTTATTATGGTCATTGGCTCCCATTTTCCAAGGGGCTAAAAAACATAAGTCCATTGAAGCCACCAACAAAGAAATTCCAAAACAAGTTGAGAATAAAACAGAAGAGGGACCTAAACTGCTCTGGATGAACATGTCAGGTGGGGGAAAGGCTTTGGCTTCACAGACTCGAGTGGATCAAATTGCACAGTAGTTGCAAACAGAAAATTGGAGGTTGGGAACACCTAGATCAAGTCATTAATTGCACATCAAGTGGTTAAAAATGCTCAAACATAAGAAATGGGAAGAAATACTAAAGATAAATCCTAGGCAAAACCATTCACTTATTTGTTGTTAAAAGAGAACATTGATCATTTGCCTTTTCAAGAAATACTGGGTACATTATTATACCCTGACGGTAACCAACGAAACTAGGAAAAAAATCTGGATCCAAGATAAAAGCTCATGGAACTGAAGATACAAAAGTGTGAAATTAAACCAGGAAACAATAGCCAGTGCATTTATGAAGATATGCATGTTAATATATCAGCTGATACTTTTGATAAAGTGAATGCGGCAGTCCATCATAGAACTACTAATTAACTGGGAATATTATTTTCCGGAAATAACACTAATCTCAGACTCTCAATCAAAGCCATGATAAAACCCTTCTCATGTAGTTACTACAGCTATAGTACAAGCAGTCACATCCTTCTTGCTTCAACCTGAGGTTGTCCATAAAAGATCCCCAGGAGGAATTCGTGTCTTTGAATTCTTGAGCTTCTTCCATTAAATTTAAAGCAATTAAAAAAATTAATGTGAAATGCAACTAAAAATGGTCACAAAATACAAAACCAAGTTGGAAATCTAAGCCAGTCAATTTGAACCCAGATACCTCAAGATATGAAACTCAGTTAAATTGCATTTTATGAAACAGCTAATACACCCATATTTTCAAGACCAATAAAGAGCAGTGTGGCAAGTTGACCTTCCTCTTTGCCGTCAGGATTTGCCAAGGCTCAAGTCTCACATCCAGCTACCACCCCCAACATTTTTCTGATGTAATTATGGTTGGTATCAACCAGCCCATCATGCTGTTGCCAGGCAATGTTGTTGCTGTAACCATGATATATCTCAATCCCACAAATACACCAGACCAAGTCAACTACAGTTAATTAAATCCCATGAAGTATTTGGAAACCAATTACAATTTATCCCAATCCCTTGAACATGTCAGAACAACTCAACCCCAATGGTCTTTCAAGCCAACTAAGAGGTGAATCTTAAACCCATAACTCTCCTAACCAATCTTTCAAGCCAAATCTATGAACTATAAAGGGTGAACTAATAATATCACCTTACTACAGTTCAACTTCAACATCAGAATAAATGTTAAATCTCAATAAAGTAAATAGTAAAAAGGAAATCCAAACTTCCAACTTTGCTAACCAACTCCTTGAAAGTTATCAGTATTGAGTCTATTGACTACATAAGACACACATTCAAAATTAGTCACCTTGAAGCAAATATAATGTTCCATGTGATCAAAAGAATTTTAAGAAGCTTCTTTCTTTATATAGCTCAAATTAAAACAACTATTCAATTTTCTCAGCTAATTGTCAAGACTAGAAGAAATCAAAGCTGTCCATCTTGTTAAAAGGTGAAACCATTTCCACTCTTTTGGAGTTTCCCTTTTAAAAAGCAACAGAAGGTAAATTAGAAAGAACAGTTCAATGCTAAATAAACTTCTCCAAATTATTCTGAGAATAAACCATTCTTTACAGAAACAGGATAAAGTAACGAGAAACATGAGATGTTTGAATTTAAGGCACAACCTTGGACAAAAGGCCATCTTTGGCAAGCTTATAATTGCTATCAGCATGACTTTTTGCCACAACACGTTCATCAGCCCAGAAGATATACCACTTGGCCCAGTCCACAGTCTTGTTATAAGGAGCTTCGCAAAGTTTTCTGTGTGCAACCATAAATTTTAAACCAACACCAAATCATAAAACCAGAGAAACATTATATGGAAAAGATAAGATACAGATACCCCATTAAGCCAATGAGAGAACCACCAGATAAAGCAATGGCAAAGACTCCTCGTTCTTTCACAGAAGCCTCTGATAACTCAGCAACATAGTCTGCCAAATCAGTCCTTAGCTCATCCAAACTCTCATGAATCCTCAACTCTCCTCTATTTTTATGAGCACCCGAGAGAGCCATGGTTTGAATGAGTCCAATTGCTCTATTTTGTAACCAAAAAGAAAAACATAAAGAGAGCATCAAAACAATTTCAGATAGAAATAATAAAATCAACAAAATTCAAAACACAAACAGCTCTGACATCAGCCTTCCTAAACCTAAAACATAAAGGGGATTCCAAAGTTGTCCAAGATCCAGCTTTTTGGCTAAAAACAAAAAATTCTAAAGGAAAACAGAAATAAGGATATAAATATGATATAATTTTGAATTTACTTTATATTTGACTACAAGACTTACAAGGTAACATGAGTTATAAACACTAAAGTATTGAAGGAAAAAAAAAAATCTATATAAACTATGCATGATATGGTTCAGTCTACCCCATAAATTCAATTTGCATGTGGAGTCTCTAATTGTTAAAAAAAAGAAAATTACAAAAGGGTATCGCAACCGAAATTTGAAGAGATCGATGTTAAGAACAAAAAAATAAGGTGCAAACAAGTGCACACTCATCGATTGTAGAAAATTCTCCGAGAACAAGAAATACATGCCCCAGATCATCAAAATATGCTCAATTGACACCCCCACTACAACAAAAACTTGAAGAAAAACAAAGCATGAAGGTCAATCATAGTCTCATGCAGTTTAACATAACTAGCAACTGCATCACAAAAAGAATCGACACGTTTTACAACAATAAAAAGGAAAAAATACTTACAAAGAAAAAAAAAATTAAGAGAAGGTGACACACAAGAAGAAGCTGACGAATGTGGAAGATGGGAAGGTGTATATATATATATATATATATATATATATATGAAACTATTTAAAACCACAATGAATGCATTTCAAGCATAGTATTTTAATCAGGATACAAATTGTGTATCAGATGGTCTATTTTCCAAATCAAGAATCAAATCGTGAATCGTAATATCCATGATCAATAATAAAATATAGCATATACATATATAAGACATACAAAAGCACTCTAGCAGCATTTTATCATAAATAAACATATGAAAAATGACCACACTTATATGTAGAACCAGAAGATTACCACTTAAACAGTTATGCAAAGCCACTTGTTGAGGATTCAAATTTATTTATAAAAAAAAAATATTTTCGTAGCGCAAGTCAATCCAACACAAAACATTGTCCCACGAAGCATGTCTAAGTCTAAGTGTGTCTGTGTTCCTTCATTTCTTATCTTAAAGGATTAAGTAAGGAGAAGCATACGCCATAATGAGAAACTAAAAAACAAATATAAACAAAAAAAAAGTGACAATCATGCTAACTTCCTAATTCAAAAAATTCACAGAGTAACGAAGAACAAAACAAAATAACAACGCCAATCTCCCTTTTCTCTCCAGCAACTCAAAAACCTAGAGTCATTGACCCAGATAAAAAACAAAAACAAAAACAAAAACCCTTCAATGAATTACAGAAAAAAATCACAAGCAGATAAGAAAATATAAAAACTTGAAATAATCGCATTGGAATAATAGCCCACGATTGAGATTGAGATTGAGAGAGAGAAAATGAGAGAGAGAAAAAACCTCTTATCGGAGGAGCCTCCCTTCTGGCTGAGGAAGGATCGGAAAAGAGGAGAGTTAACGTCGTAAATCATTGTGGAGAAGATTCGATGCCAAAGATGAAACCCTAGTTTTTTTTTCTTTCACTGCGCTACACAGTTTCGGAAACCTTCAAGAATTTATGCTTCTTCCAGACTCCCCCAAATCCGTTTTCGTTGTTGGATTGGGTCATTTTTCACACTTTTTTTTTGTTAGGCCTTAGTTGATATACGGGCTTATGTTTTTTTTTTTGAATAATTGAAAATTTTGAGCATAGTATTTGATATATTCGTGGATCACATTTATAAGAGATGTTTGTTTTAAGTTATCTAATTTTATTTTTGGAAATAATATTTTTGAGAATAACATGTCCGTGTGTGTTAAAAAAAAGTTGTTTGGTTAACAATAAGATTTTTTTTATATTCTCAAAAATAATGTTCATAATATATATTTCGAGGAAGGTATGTTATAATTATTAAAATAACTTTATTATATAAAACGTTTTTTTTATTACAGTCCATAAAAATAAAAATAAAAATTATAACTACATTATGAATAATTTTTCATGAATCTATACCTATTATAAAGGGGATACAAGAATATGTAACCACTTTCATGCAAACACAAAACACAATGCATAGGCTCCATATGACTCAAAATAAACTTAAATCTCACATGCATCTAACATATGCATCAAAACCATCAAAATATTTATTTTTCTCAAAACCCCAAAAAAAAAAGATATTTTCTTCAATCCATCTATGGATTCTCAACATTCATGAACCTATTGACTTTCTAAACTCACATGCAACCTAAACAACAAACATTCTAACTTTCCTCACCTAAAGATTAACTCAAAATAGCCAATAACTAAGAAGAAGTATAATTTGTATTGTACAACTACTGCTACGTCTTCTACTTATTAATTTGCTTCAATTCTGAGCTCTCTTTTGAACTTCCCTTTAAACAAGAGGCAAAGTGGTACCCTTGAATTTTGAGAATTATTATTAGTATGTGAGGGGTAATTATATTTTTGCACCTTCTTTTTTTCTCTTCAAAGGTACTGAAATAACAAACAAATTTTATAAACGAGAAAAATAATTCTAGAAGCAGGAAACAAACAAGTTCTTCATTAGTGTTATATTTGATCAGCGAGAAAGGGAAACACCAAATTCCAAAATTGATCAATCTAGCGTAGAGGGCAAGTGAGATACATGAAGCATCAAATCACTCTCATCTTCATTTCGCTCTTTCAGTTAATTTCTCAGCTTCCAATTTTCATCTTTTACGTTTAGATAAAGTTACTAAAGTATATAACATTAATTACATGTATAACCATAAATGTAATATCATTAAATATAATAAAAAACTAAATTATATTTTTTAAAATATTATTTAATTAATTTCACGCATACAAATGTGTGCAAGCCTGTGAATTTGGAATGTCTACTGTTATAAAAGAATTCAACCATAAAATTTTCTTATATAAATAAAAAAATACAAACAGTAAAAACATACCAAACTAAAATGACAGATACATAAGCGAAATTCACCTTGTACAGTTAATTTTTTCAGCTGCACCGCACCTACTAATAAAAAAAGATCAAATTAGACTAATGCATAGGTGTGGTGTTATTAGTATTTAAAGTAATATTTTAATTTTTAATATTTGACACTAATTTGTTTTTTTTTAACTAAAATTTATGTTAAGCTTTCCGAAAAGATAAGGTGGAAATATAAAAAGATATCTAATAGCATGTTTTTTAACAATTTATTTATTTAGTAATAATTTTTTTTTAAAATAACAAAAAATTTTACAACCCTGACAATTAAGTTTCGTATTAATGTTTGAATAACTTATTAAGAATTTTGTAGTAAACAAGCATTTTAGTTTGTATATTGTACATGTTTATTACATATAATATAATTAAAATTTATAATAAATTTATAAAATATTATATTTAAATATATAAATTATATTTAAAATAAAAATATATAAATATTTTTTTACATATAAATTATATTTTAGATTTATGATGAATAATTTATATTATAAAAATACTTTTTTTATTGATAATTTACTTTTAAATATTAATATTTAATTAATAAATTTTCTTACCGGAATTTGACCGTAGGGGTGATCCGTCCAGTAAGATCGGTGAGCCTCTTTTGCTTGATGTATTGGTGCTCCAAGATGGGGGAGGTACCTGCAAAAGAGACTCCGATGCCAAAATTAGAGTTTGTATGAGCAATAGTCTCGTATAAGTAATGCACGTACCTTGGAGTGAATTAAGTTGCTTTGGGCTCTGGGCCTGAGATAAGATATGATAGCGGATCTCGTCTGGGGCGAGATCTTCGGTAATCAGTGATTAGATAATGGATCTCGTATGGGCGAGATTCTCGGGAATCAGTTGTGATTCACCTAAATGCCGAGCTGACGCCGTATGACGCGTGCCCGAGATCATCTTGCACTGTGATGCCGAGCTTGGAGCTCGGCTTCGCGGTACGGTCAGTACACTAGCCCCCCGAGCTCCGAAGACCGTTGGTCGAGGAGTTAATGCCGGGCTCGTTGGGGAAAGTGGCTTTTCACATGTGTCGCGGCAGTTCATTCCCTAGGAACGCGCAAGTGACGTGCCACGGGAAACCTTGGCGTTCCCGAGGCACTTTTTGAGTTCTCGGAGTATCACCTTGTTAGCTGCTTCGGCTTGACCATTAGTTTGTGAATGTTCCACTGAGGTCGGAAGATGCTTGACTCCGAGTTCCCGAAGAAAGTCCTCGAAGTCCTGCGCGATGAACTGTCGGCCGTTATCAGTAACAAGGGAATGGGGCATCGCGAACCTGCATACGATACTCTTCCAGGTGAATTTCCGTATGTTCTCAGTGGTGATTTTAGCGAGTGGGCATGCCTCGATCCACTTGGTGAAGTAGTTGATTGCCACCAGGAGGAACTTGAGCTGACCCTTCGCTGGGGGGAATGGTCGTAGGATGTCCATTCTCCACTGGGAAAAAGGCCACGACGACATCATCTGGTGAAGAGTTTTGGGTGGTTGCCGATGTGAGTTACCGAGTTGCTAGCATTCTTTGCACCTTTGTACGTAGTCCTGGCAATCTGATTTCAAAGTGGGCCAGTAGTATCCTGCTCAGAGTACTCTGGTCGCCATTGAGCGTGCCCCGGAATGCATGCCACATATGCCTCGGTGGATCTCCTCGATGACATAGGCTGCCTGAGGTGCAGTTAAGCATTTGAGTAGTGGTGTAGAGATGCCACTCTTGAATAGTTTGTCGCCGACGATCACGAACTTGGCCGACCTCAACCTCATCTTCCGAGCTTCGTCCCTATCTTTGGGAAAAACTCTTTCCTTCAAGTAGCTCCAAATGCCCGTCATCCATCCCTGGTCTTCACTGTCGCTAGTGTTGACGACCTTGTCGTCCAAGCTGGATGAGTGCAAGGTCTCTTGGATGATGGTTTGATGTTGTCCGGGGCGTTGGGTACTGGCGAGCTTTGATAGGAGGTCGGCTCTGGTGTTCTATTCTCGCGGTACATGTTGTGTGGTGAACTCGTCAAAGGACGAGATCTGTTGTGATGCCATGTGGAAATACTGCTGGAGGAGAACGTCCTTGGCCTGGTATGTTCCGTTGAGCTGCTCTACCATGAGTTTCGAGTCGCTGTTGCAACTCACTCTGCCTGGTTGTTGGTCACCTTGAAGCTAAGCTTTAGAGATTGCTCCAGAGTGACTTGGTTCGGTCCTTCCAAGATGATACCTGCACCACCACCTTTACAGTTGGAGGACCCGTCAACGTGTAAAGTCCATACCTGTGGTTCCTCGGCTGAGGTAGGCGTGAGCTCGGCTACGAAGTTGGCCAGGCATTGGGCTTTCAGGGCGCCGCGACTTTCGTACTGGATGCCAAACTTGGACAATTCTTCCGACCAGGCTATCATCCGTCCGGCGAGCTCCGGCTTTCTCAAGATCTGCTTGAATGGGTAGTCGGTCTTAACGATTACTTGGTGGCTTTGGAAGTAAGGTCGGAGGCGCCGAGTTGCGGTGACAAGTGCCAGTGCCAGCTTCTCGATCATCTGGTACCGCTTCTCCGTGTCTTGGACATAACAACCTAGTCTCGCTTTTGGGTTATTGCAATGAAGATGGGGAGATGATACTGGTCTATGACTTCATGGCCAATGGAACTCTATATGATCATCTTCATTTGAGGAATAGAGATCAAGATCATCACCCTTTGTCTTGGATTCAACGTCTTGAGATATGCATTGGAGTTGCAAGGGGTTTGCACTACCTACACACCGGCACAAAGCACAAGGTCATCCACCGTGACATCAAGACAACCAACATACTCTTAAATCATAATTGGGTGCCTAAAATTTCAGATTTTGGGTTGTCAAAGGAAGGTTACCCTTCCTTAGTCACCACCAATGTGAAGGGTAGCATTGGTTACCTAGATCCTGCGTGTTATCAAAGCCACAAGTTGACTGAGAAATCTGATCTATACTCACTTGGGGTGGTGTTATTGGAGGTTCTAAGCGCAAGGCCTGCTGTAAGTCAATGTGAAGATGATGAACATGTAAACTTGGCTGAATGGGCTATGTTGTGCTTTGAGAATGGCTGTGGAGAGCAAATAGTTGACCCCAACTTGGAAGGGAACATAGTAAAAGAGTGCTTTGAGTTATAGTTAGGAGTTGCAATGAAATGTTTGGCTGAGAGAGGGATAGAGAGGCCATCCATTGGTGAAGTGCTAGAGAACCTTGTTACATATAATGTCTTTCTAAATCATATTTAAAGAGATTATATGTAAAAAATTTCTGGATCAAATACAAATAGACTATCTGTTTATATACAAATTACAAATATTTTTTATAACTTATTTATGAAAAATAATTGTTTGTATGGATACAAATTACAAATACTTTTGATAACTCGTTTATAAGAAATAACTCTATTTTATGGAGAAAAACTCAAAAAAAAAAAAAAACTTTTATATTGTATACAAATATCTTTATATATGAATTAAATTCTTATATTTGTTCACATTTGAGGTGTTATAATAATTATTTTCTTTTTACTGTTTTTGCATTTCTATGAAGTAAGCTTCCAAAAATGAAAAAAAGCATGTGGAGTGTGAAAGGAAAAGTAAACAGAATCATACCGTGTCTCCCTCGTTAGTAGTTATTAATTTGCTTCAATTCTGAGCTCTCTTTTGAACTTCCCTTTAAACAAGAGGCAAAGTGGTCCCCTTGAATTTTGAGAATTATTATTAGTATGTGAGGGGTAATTATATTTTTGCACCTTCTTTTTTTCTCTTCAAAGGTACTGAAATAACAAACAAATTTTATAAACGAGACAACATTTGACTTTATATGCTCTATCTCTGGTTTCGTTGCTTCATGGGCTGGATCACTCTTTTTCTCGCTTGAACCTTTTTGAGCCAAAACAGCCAGCCTCTTCAGGTTCGATGTTGTGTCCTATATATAGTCTTGTGAAATTTTCCTGTTGCAAGTGTCCGTTGAAGCTGATATAGTCGTTCATGACTAGTTTAATCTTTCATTTAATGCTTAGAATCTTGCATTAAATGTTGCTTCCTGTTCATAGACATTGCATGAATTCTTCTTGCCTTGTTAGCAGTTGTGGCTGAATTTAGCAGTGACCTAAGAACTTTTTGTCCTTTTCTGATCGCGCAGCTGTAGAATGTTATTCTTATTTGAAAAAGTAATGTACTTTTTTTTACACATGCATGCTTTTACTTATGCGCTTGATTTTCTTTTTATCCTTTTCTTCTATTGCTCGCGCAATCATTTTGAGCTTTTGTGATTGTAGATGATGCCTAAGTTGTCCTGGGAGACTTGATTTCTCAATTGCTTGTATGGAAATTTTCGTCTAGTCTGTTGATCTTGTGAGTCTTAAGTGTTGTCCTTCATCTTTCATTCTATGTCGTCCTTAGTCTGATACATGAATCTTTCGTCTGTGGTCTGTATCTTCTGAAGCTTGACCATTTTCTTTTTTGTGCTAGACTTAGCTTCGTTTGACCTTTCCATCTGACACTTGACACTTTACTCTTTATCTTGGTTCTGGAGTAGGAAGTGGCACATGCTCATGCTCCATTCTTCAACTTGCCTGTACTTATGTTTTGCTGAAACACTAACACACTTATTAGAAATAACATGTATTATATTTGTCTCATTCAAAACCTTACTGGGAATTGCTTCGTCTGACTTAACAGAATTATGACTCATGCTTCCTACTCATCTCCATGACAACATCAAACTTGTTAATCATTATTTTCTCAAATGGAGAAAATGGATTTGGCTCTGGTTTTGGTTCTTTCTCAACAAATGGTGGCCATTCTTCATCATGAAAAGGCACACCATCTTCATTAGTTGCTGGTTCGAGTGTTGGAGGTATTAAAGACCCATTTGTCTTTTTGCTTCAACATCCCCATATGATGTAGAGATGCTCTCTCAATTTTGTTTGAAGCATGGAGAGTTATCTTTTTCTCCCCCTGAAGATCTATCCCTACATTCTCAATAACTCTAGACAGTAATAAGGCATTGTCGCCACCGGCCCGAAACGGGCTTTCGGCA